GAGAGGAAGACTGGCGCGATGGGCGTATCGTCTTCAGGAATTTACGTTTACCATTGAACACGTTGAGGGCAAAGATAACGGAATTCTCGACTTCCTGTCGCGTCCGATCCACGAGGAAGGTGTCCCATCGGAGGCCATCTCAGTTTCCCGGCTGGTTTCGAGCGATGTGGAAATTAAGAAATAACAGAAAGAAGATGACCTGGTGCGAACGATCTGTGAACATCTGCGGTCAGAATGGAAGCCAGAAGAAACTTCACGCGAAATAGGAGAATTATTGAAGATCTGGGATTGCCTGCATTTGAACAATGAGACCTTGGTGGTGGAAGTGGACATGGAACGTAGACTGAGACCTAAACGACTGCCATTCATCCCAGTCGGCCTTCGCGAACGGGTGTTGAAGCTTGCACACGCTGGAGCACACACGGGACGGCAATAAGTTCTCGACTCATTACGACGTCGTGTGTTCTGACCAACAATGTGTCGGGATGTAATTGAATACATCCGTTCTTGCCTCGAGTGCCAACATAATAAATACACACCGCCATCAAAACCGCCAAAGAAACCAATAGACACACAGAGAGTACTCCAAACCCGGGGACTGAATGTGTTTGAACCTCTGTCTATTAGTCCAAGCGGGAACAAGTACATTGTCGTGATGGTCGAACTCGTATCTCGCTGGTTGGAAGCGATAGCAACCTCAGATCAAACAGGAGAAACGGTTGCTCGGATATTTATAAACAACGTGGTTGCACGATTCGGTATCCCGGAAAATGTCATTACCGACCAGGGACCGTGTTTGGAATCCAAGATTTTCGGGAGACCTTAGAGCGCTGGGGCATCAAACGAACAAGAATGTCCCCCTATCATCCGCAGGCCAATGGAATGACTGAAAGGTTCAACAGAACAATGAAGGAATGGCTTAATAACCATCGCGGTGATTGCGAAGGAAGCCTACCGGAAATCCTTTTCAACTACAGAACAACATCTCATTCGACAACAGAGATACCACCTTCGAAATCATATACGGTAGAGAACCCAGAACGCCTCTTGATGCGTAACTCGGAAGATCCGGTGAACAGCTTTCCACGAAGGAGCGAGAGAAGCTGATAAGAGAGAACCCAGGCAGACTTGAAACAACAGAACCAGAGGCCGGAAAGTTCAAGCAGCGGTGGATGGAAGAATTCACCGTTCTGGAGAGGAACATCGACAGTTTTCGGATCAATCACGCGTCTCAAGGAACATAAGTAAATAGTATGAATTGGAGCGGTGGTACACCCGCGGCAATCATTTTAGAGAAGGGGCGAGTGTGATGGAAGGCGTTACAAAGAGAGTTCTGACTAGTGACCGAATCAAGAATGGGGCTCATCCGATCAGACGCGCAGACGCAGCGGCGGGAAGTGCCTAGCGTGACAATGTTGACTGCCACCCGAAACGAACGAATCGACAATTACAGCCCGACAGACAATCCGCAGCTACCGGGAAAGATACCCGCCGACTGCCACAACGTCGGACCTGTCGATCAACGCATCCTGCGCCGTGATCGGGTCAAACCAGTCGGAATGGCACATGGACAAACAGGCAACGAACGTGCCATGTGTGAACCAAAACAAACAAGGAATAACCCACAGAAAGAGGCATGAATCACCCCGCTGCGCGGTTGAGAATTGATTGTAAATAATCGAACGCAAACACTGTTTGCTTTTGAATTGCATCAATAGACGTTTTTCTTAGCCAGCTCGGCTTCGCGCTACAATGTTGTACCGTCAAAGTCTAAAATGATGCTCCAAAATTTGGTTGATCCAGCACGCAGCCTCACTCTAGCCGGGGATAGTAATAGGGCACGTGGAGAAGTTCTTAAATCTGGGAAGCTACATCTAGCTCGGTGGACGCTCACGGATGAAATGTCAGCTCGCACACAGAACACTCGACTGGCATTTGCCAACTTGGTACATCTGTGGCGCCGTCGCGACATCCGGTTGTATGTGAAGGATCGAGTGTAGGTTGTAGCAGTTCAGTCAGTTCTGCTATATGGAGCGGAAACGTGTGCATCAAGAAAACAGGACAAAGATAGACTGTTGGTGTTTGAACACCGCTGTCTACGCAGCATTGAACGAATCTAGTGAGACAGCCGAACGAGGAATGCTGAGGTCAGGCGAAAAGTTTTAGGTAACCGCGGTCGCCCACTGGAGTAAGTGGTCGGTCGGGACGCGTCACGCATGTTACCAAATATGTAGGTTGCCACGGCTGACGATGTTTGCCGTGGCAAGTAGTGGGTGGAATAAAGCCCAGAGTGGTCAAGCTAAGGGCTGGCATGAAGGTATGAAAACCCTAACCAGGGGACTGGGTCACATAGGTCCCATTAGGCTGCCTGGATGCGGACCTCGGTATGGTCGCACCCGATGGTTAGAGACTGGGTGATATGGCTAGGTGTCGTACACAGTGGCGTTTGTGCATCTTCTCAATTTCTCCGTATCATTAGTTCACTGAATTTTTCAATTTTCTCTTCGATCCTAATTTCAACCTTTCGTGTTTTTCTCCTAATGTTCATCCTAATGGGCAGCCGAAAGATGGCAACCAAACCCGGCGCACGAGAGCGAATGGTTAATGGCCGTACAAACTGAAAACTGGAACTGACACAGATGTCATTATTCTCAAGCACAAGTGCAGGGGTCACCAGGATTACCAGTAGCTGCATGAGAACCACTGTTTGCGACACCCGGTGTCTCTAAACACCGATCACCATGATCTCGAGGTCCCCCCCCCTTGCAGGAAACCGAAAGCGATCTATGTGACCGAGTCTAATCATACCATCACGTCAGATCTGAGTTTGACCGTCCTGAACCTTTGTCCAACCGCTTCCTGCCTCGGCAAGCATCGCTCGCCGTGGCAACCTATTTGGTGATATGCGTAACACACATGCCACAACCTTGACCTATTTTACCGAGGTCGACCAATTGCTCTACTGGACAACTGCGATGACCTAAAACGCTGCGCCTTCTCATGAATGATATACGGTGTCTACTGCGTATGACCAAATGTTAGCATTCCGTTTGGAGGTGATGAGATACACTTGTATTTGGTAATAGAGTGAAGCGAATTTCACAGATTGCACAGCCAAACTCAAAATGTATACAAGATAAGTGAGAACGTGTCGGGAGGATAGGGATTGGACTTGGTTTTAGAGACGGGGAAAAGAAAGTGAACCTCCATGATCAACACACACACAGTCCGACTGTGCCGAGTACACTATTTCAAGCATTCTAATCTGATACGAAGTGACAGTGGGATTGCCACTGTTATCGGTTCGCAGCCAGGGATCCCAAAAACGGAAACAGAGAGACACTTACTTTGTCCAATCGCTCGGCAAATTTATTTACTCCACATCTCCACGTCATCCACTGGCTTCCGCGTGGCTTTCTCCAACCTGCAGCGGCCACTGCCAACTGTATCGTGTCACCAACACTGACATGAATGTACTATACCGGGGTGAATACCATAGTGACCTTTGTGACCGAGTCTCCCATTCAGGATTTTCATATCCTCGTGCCAGGTCTGAGTTTAATCCGCTCCTGACTTTTCTCACGCAACACCTGCCTCAGTAGATATCGCGCACTGTGATAACACGAGAGGCGATACAGTCTTGAAGCACAGTTAAACCTCGCTATCACTCACGCCCGTCAATCATGGATAAAAACTGGCTGCTTTAGACTTTGGTAAATTACGTTGAACTCCAGCAATTGTATTCTTAAACTTTCCTGAAATTCATGTTCCAGGATTATGCGAGAGTTATGCTTCGATCGGAAAACGTCGACACTCACCACTGTGTGTGTGTGCTTCGCGGTATGTAAACAAATCGATATCTCGTGTTCTCATCGATCCACACCACAATGATCATTGACACTATCCGACTGGCTGTGTTGTGATTCGTGTGTTCACATAAAGGCCTACGCGAGGGACAAGTTGATTTCTGTAGTTTATTGTCACCTTCCTTTCTGTCGTATGCTCACCATTCGATTTTCCTTTCCTTCCTTGCCTGTGTCTCATCCGAGGTAGAACACGAATGTGATGTGATTTTTCAAACAAAAATAAAACGGATGTTTTGCTTTTATCTTCGTAATGACGAGACAAAATTTCACAGAAGCATAATTCCTGTCGGGAGTTCCGATATCAGAATGATCAGACAAAATTGGATTACCTGACGAGCGGCCACGACCACGAAACCGGTCATGTGATTCCATGGAGCTCCGCCACCGCCACCCACTCGGTTTTGATTGTAGGCAGCTTCACTGTCGTCCGGTACAATACCGGGCCCAATCTAGCGCGAGGCCTTATGTGGTTCGCCACTCTCCAAGTACCCCGCGGAGCGCTTTGGTTGCCGATTTCCATCACTGAACAATAGATCCTCTGGACTATGGGGCTTTCTCCGTCTGGAATGCATCACACACTAAGGTGTTTCATAAAAAATACTACTCATTAAAAAAAATCGAATCTGGCGTCGAGCTGACCAAGGTTAGACGTATCTAACTCACAACGCTCAATAAGGAACCAGCTCCGTGGTTATTCGAGGCTTGATCATATCCAATTCACTCCCTAAACTATAAATGAGATTTTCCGGGCCTAGTTTAAAATGTGTTGTCATGTATATATATGTATGTGTGTGTGTGTGTTTCGTCTGTTGGCACGCAAAATTTGCACTGACCTCCCGGGCACGAGCTAACCCGAACCAGATCCCAGATCTATTCCCAAACAAGGGACTATGAAGCAGCTTATGAGGAACAGACAGACAGACAGACAGACAGACAGACAGACAGACAGACAGACAGACAGACAGACAGACAGACAGAC